TCTTCAATCCCGTTCAGCAACAATTTCTTGAAAACTTTTCTTCGATACCGATAGTAGTGTGACGCCTCTATATTTCTCACATATTCTAGGATCACATTTCTTTATTATCTTGATGAGGTATCGTTTTTTACAGTTCGTTGATGATTTTTTTAATGCTAAATCTTCCTGGTTTAGTATTAGCAAGTATAATTACACCCATGGTCTTTAATTGCCGTCCATAAAAAGTGGCAATAGTTAAAACTGAAGATCAGTTTTGAAAGTTCATCGTGCATTACGTAACGAATTGTGAAAGAATTTAACTAAAATAAATCTTAACATTATGTGAATTACATTTTTGTATTGATAACATAATAATAACTGCTATTCAATGGTGGTCTAACATCAATCGGTTCATGATCTCAATCAAAAAAACTTGACAATCTCCACAACCCCTAAACTGATAATTACGAGTTCTGGTGAGTTCTGGTGAGAAGTCGTGACCAATGGAGCTAGTCCATGTCGGGTAGAAACAGGTGTCTACCTCAGTACGATGGAAAGTATAAAGTTACGAAACCCAACTAACGGTGGAAGTGACTGCAAATGTTCAGTATTTTCAACAAAATTTATACAATTGAGTTCGTAGAATAAGAAAATAACAATCAAAATAGACGGATTGTACAGTGGATATTAAATAGCACAAATATATAATGCATAGATTGGATACTCCATAAGTCATCATGATCTAAAAGTATGAGTTCCTAATGATTTACTGTATACCATATATATCGTTTACGTAAATTCCAGATTCTAAACTCAATAATTATTATGGATTAATAGTATTTAAAACCTCTTTATTCTAACAAATCATTCTATTATTTCATGGGACAACTTCATATTTCACATAAGTACTGACATGAAATTTCTGATACCCAAAAACATTATAAGTAATCTATACTTACGCCTGTAGTAATCAATCGATAAGAGACTAGATAAGAATATATTCATTTATGATGGGTTGTATTTTAAACCACACAAACTGACTTACTGTCCCTGACTGTAGACACGTGAAAACGCATTATATTTAACAGTTCTTTTGTATGATTCTGATGAAAAAATCTTGGGGGTTGATTGATCTTATCAAACCTAGCACCCATTAGAAGTTGATTTGGCATCAAATCCTTAACGAAGTGAGCATTTCAGTTTACATATACATAAATCTTTCTAAAAATCCTGTTAAATCAGTTATTTATACATATTTTTTAAACTTGAACTTTTCTAAAATTCCTCCTAATTGTTTATAAAACTGACTATAATGAACACTGAATTGTGGTTAGGAAATAATTTACTTAACATCGATGTTTAAAACATCGACCTGATAGCTTTCTGATTACTATTCATAATACCTTTCATGTTTAATAATTACCTCAATCCATCTCTTATTTGCTTATTTCAGCTCCCTTGATAGTAACTTTTAAAGATAAATATATATAATAGCTAGTTCCAAATAAAAAGAATCAGTCAAATTTAATTAATTTGATTCATTCAAGTTTTACTTTTTTGTAAAATTATACTGCCTAAATGATTTAACTTAGAGTTACATCGAAAAACTGTCCAGTTCGAATGTGTGTGTGTGAACTTTGCGTATTTTTGTGCTTGTTATTTTTGTTTCTACCTTATCTATATTATCTGATTAGTTAACTGATTAAGAGCGTTTCTAGCAAAACACAATAATATTATAGATCATTACTTACCCTACGTATACACCTGTAAAATTGTAAGTATGTATTTATGTCTCGAGAACTATGGTGATCAAGCTGTTGATGAAGGTAACAATCATCACAATAATAGGGATAATGCTTCTATTCAACAATGAAAATACTAAAAATTATTTAGATAGAAACAAAATAACAATAATTAATATTGCTATGCGTAAAAAGATAAAAGAAATTTGATTAAACCTATCTTCATGAACTTATTGTCAGATTTGATTAACTATATGATTTATCAAATGTTTTAAAAAACAGTATCTTCCAACTATCGTTTCTTTCTCTCTTTCTAATAAATGGTCTTATTTTGGTATTAGTAGCGGTTGTAATAGTAGTAGAACTAGTAACATTTCAAGTGATATGGATGAAATACAGATCCTTTAACTGGATTTCCCAAAAATTATATCAAAGTCATAAAGTTGATCTTTATGGTATTGTAATTCCGAATATAAGTACTTTTCACAATTTTGTCACATCCAGTCACTTTTTTTTCACAGATAGCTTTATGAACAATACAAAAAAATTCTACAAATTTTATTAGAATGTGCTTTCATGGAGATTTTAGTAATTTTTGTTAGTTTGATACATGAGTCAATTTAAGATAAACCACAATTGAAATCCTAGATGAACTGGACAACCTTTTCGTCTTCGTATGAGATTTCTTGGCAGTGCGCACCCACGATCCCACATACAGGACCCAATCCCAGGACCGGTGGGGTCTAATGTTTGTTGGATAAAGACAGGTATTCACCTCAGGAAATGGATGAATGATTGGGTAAGATCATGAATCGATTGAAGTTAGACGCTAAGACCGTTGGATGCCAGCTCAGTGGTATGGATCAAAGTTCCTGGACTCAAGTCCGGATACGAGATCATGAACTCACATTGTTGTAAAGTCCCAAACTAAGACGAAACGTCATCAAGAAATAAAATAAACATTTTAGTACAGGAAATTTTTTATATCAAAAGTTGCGCAATAGTATTATTTGATGTAATGAATAAGTCATGTTAAAGTACATTTTCAAGGTGAACGAATCACCAAGCTGACTCGTTAAACATGTACCTATATAAACGACTAAAAGTCATAAACTTTAATGCAAATTGAAGGAGAACGTTGTGATTTCTCAAGTAGATCAATGAGAACTGAATTTGACCAAACGTAACAAATAATTGTAAATCAAACAAAATGAAATTAGTACATGTTATTAAAATATATCCATAAGAAAAATAAAAATGGAAAAGGATTAGATTAAATGTAAGTTGGAGATTCAGATGTGCAAGAAAACTATGGTGACTTTAGGTTAAAGAATAGTATAAACTTCCTCTTTAAACCGAACTCAAGCTTCTTCAACACAAAAGTACGTTGGTACAGATTTTGATTGATTTGTTTTGATTTTTGCAATCGTTTAGAGTGATGACTTCGATATTGTATGGTTTAGTTATAGACTAGAATAACAACAAAATAAACTAGAACTACTGAATGCATGTTAACCATTAAAATAATTGGGATTTACAAATAACAATAATTTTTATCTCAATAGTTGATGAGACATTTTATATATTAGATAAGGACATGTATCTGATAGGAAAATTCATAGAACATTTTGATATATTATGAAAGTTATATACACAAGCACAAGATTTCCTTAATACATTTATATATTATAAAGTCAGTCGATACAGAAAGTAAATAGACTGTCAAAGCTTTTAATAATTCACATAACCGTGCCGGGACGTTATAAATTGACCTTTTTATGAGAATATTAAGTGGATGAATATGTCTCGTAAAATAGGTGACTAGATGAAATTTCAATTATACGAAAGTTGAATAAGAAAAATGAACTCAATAATACAAATAAATCAACATACATTACCTTGTAATATCTTCATCTATTATTTGACATCCTCTAGTGACTGATCATACCTCTTATAACTTTGTAAAAGTTAATACTCAAGATGACTTAATTTTAAAATGAATCTCTGTATAAAAAATACCAGTAAACTATCAGTAAGTTATGCTTACTCTTATATGGCAAAGAATCTAGTTGTGCAATTCTTCTTCAAATATATTTATAATTCTCTATCCATATATCAAACTCAACTAACAAGAATGTGAAACTGGCTTTGATTTCTTGATGTGTTACTGTCAAGAGAAATGTATACCAATATTAAATGTAAGATTTCTTATGAGACATAACTAGTCAATCAAAATATTTAATACCAGATATTTGTCTCACCTTCACTGGAGGCTACTGATTCAGTAAGAAACATCAATGCACTTTGTGTGATAATGACAATGTTTGGTGGATATTATGAGATATGGGTGAAGCAGACATGGTCACTACTGTAAAAGTTGATGCAGACTTATTTAACGGTTAGAACTATCAAGCCAAATATATTTTGCTTTAATATTTGTTGATAATGTTGTCTTTGAACATACAAACGTAAAACGTTTGCTTTGACATTACACGTCATTTCAACACCCATAATTTGGACTGTAAAAAATTAGATTTTCTAATCCCATAGAATATTATCTGCATCAAAAATAATCATCTATTCTCTTTTTATACAATAAATCAAATCATTTGAAATAATTGATATCTCAGCCACAGATATCTTTAACTTATTTTCACATTGAGAATACTTTTACTCAAAGAAATTTGGAAGTATGCTTCACTCTGTAATTACTAAGTATTTCTCATTCAACTAATGCATTCGAAACGATATATTTTAACTTGTAGCTTTCTATAAATTGAGTATTACAAATATCAAATTTCTATTTTAAGAATTTGAGCTTTTAGCAGCAAGGAAATTAGTGATAATAAAAAACAAAAAGAAAAACCACTTTATAATCATGGTGTTAATTTTCAAATTTTTGTTGATATAAAAGAATTTTTGATGGAGTTTTGTTCTCTGATCTGGATGGTTCGGTTGTGGAGCTTTCATCGTTCTTTTGAACGACATCATCAGTACAACTAAGCCATCCAGCTCAATGACCAAAACCCATCAAAATCATCCACCTGAACTACAAATCTTCTCTATTATACAAAAGAATAAATGAAATCAGTCACTGCTTATTCAAATGACTTCAATGAATTTATAAGAATGAGAACAATTTAATTCACAGATTGTTATCAATTTTATACTACTACTGTTACAAATTTAGTAAGAGATCTATTACTGAATAAATTGTTTATTGATTTAATTTATGAAAAATTATCGGATGTTTGTTTATATGTAATTTGTGTTTTTCAGATTCTTTTAGGTGATCTTGTGTGTAGTACAATTTTATCCCCATACAATGCTACATTTTGTAATAGTTTTACACAAGAACCAAAACTTATTGCACAAATAGTTGGTGATAATTTTCATTTAGTACATGCTAGCTTATATTTACCAATATATTTAGAACCGCCAATTTTTACTAATTTCCCAGAAATAATAAAATCAAATAATGAACAAATGAAACATAATCAACTTTTACATTCATCAATAAATGGTTACTCATCAACAAATGCTAACTTACAACCGAATATAATTTCACCGGCAGAAATATCAACTTTTAATATATCATCAAGAAAAGTGGTAAGTTAAGGAATTCATCTAAGGAGTTATATCTATTCCTATATTTTGTTGATTGTAACAAAGAGGAAAAATCTAAGTCTTAGTTTTAATCAGTCAATAATATACCTTTTTTTATTTTTTTCTTTGAGAAATATCAATCACGCTAGCATAAAGCAAACCTTTATCATTATTATTATTATTAAAATCCAAAAACATTTTTCTCTATAAAAAATTAACTATTTTTCTTTATTAAGAAGCACGCAAAGTGTCTTATAGATAGTCGAGAAAGAAAAAAGCAGTTTACATAACACTTTATACTGACTTTATAAAGAAAATAATTTCCTGAGTTTTTTGAATAAAAATAAATATTGTTCTACTTCATAACAGGTACTGAAGAAACTTGTCAAGAAGCAAGTAATACATGAGAATGATTAATTCAAAGGAAGTATGGCAATAAAAGTATTTACCAAATAAAAGATAATTTTTTTCTTTTTCATTTTCAACCTTTTTAACAGATAAAATTTGTTCTTATAATAATTACTATACTGAAAATCATTTACACAATAAATTGTTCCAACTATAAAAAAACACTACATCAGACAAAATGAACGCCTACATTCATCTCGGCCTACACGAACATCAGTTAGCAGTCAAACATCATGACATATTCTTGTTTATATCAATGCATGTGGAAAACTGCGGACATGCATTTGACTGGAAAAAAGGTTGAAATTTTGGATAGAGGGAATATAAAGAACATCAGGGAAGCTTTAGAAGCTTGGCACTCAGGTAAATTAGCAATCAACAAACACATTGATATAGATCCAATCTATGAACCAATCAGGAAAATCATGGACAAATATAGGACCAAGAATTAAATCAATGGGAAATACAATCAAAATAAAGGTGACAATAGCAAGTCAAAGGTCAACAATAATTAATCAAGATCTAAGTCGACAGGAGAAGCTGTGAATTGTATATAGAGAAATCCAAATACTTCAACTCTGCCTGAAGTTTGTGCTGACAATATTGTTCAGAAGACCAATGAAAGCTCCACGATCAAACTTTCCAGCTCAGACAACAAAACTATCTAAATCACTATACTTTTTTTTATATTGACTTAGTTATATTTATTCATATACTTTAGCTTAGCGATCAGATTGATTAAATCTCTGAAAAGAATGGTGTAATTTGTCTCAAAATAAAATAGAGAATTAGAATGTTTTTGTAACAGTTATCGACAATAATTATTGCATTTGATTAATTCAGGACCCTGGAGACTTTTAAATGAAAACAATATAGAATGAACACTTAAATGGAATAAACAGTAATGGTAGAAAATGATACATAATTTCTACAAAATAACCTTTTACTGACTAAGGTATAAATCAAAAGTATTTCGAATTACCAACATGAGAAAATCTTTTTCATGATTCTGTTGAATAAATCTTTTACAACTTCATCGGCATTGAGGTAGTTGTCAACGATCAAATAAGAGAAATTATTCTCTACTACAACCATCCTCGATGAAAACATTCGTGGTAAATCATCCGTCTAGTGTAATATTATTATCACTTTAACAGAAATGGCCAGTTATCTAGAAGGAGATATTTATTGACCGTTCTGATTTCAACAGAAAATTGTTTCCTGTATTTACCATATTCTACAAATTTCTGGTGAAGAAATTCTACTCTTCATGGCTGTACGGCTTCTCATTTACATTTCAAAACAAATAATATCCAATCCATAGAACGCTATTACTAGTTAGATAATCAAAAAATATTTAACGATATCATAACATTCTTCTTCGAAACACAAAAACTATCTAATTGTTTTGTTCCCTACTAAAATGATCCACTTGCTATGTAAGCTATAAACAAATAAATATCAAAGTATACTGTGTAGTGCTTGGTTTCTTAGTAAACTGATTTTCATGCAAACGTTTACTTACCATGACCAGAACGTGTCATGAACATACAATTTGTGAAGGGAACTGTGGATTAATCACTTTACTATTATTATCTGACTAAATGTCGATTGCAACTGTGAAAAATATCGGTTTATAGAAACGAAGTAAAAGTTTTGGTAAATATACAGATGTAAAAGTTTATAATACATAAATTTACTAATATATTCTGGTTAATACTGTTTAGTCTATTGTTAATGTCATCATTTTTAAGATCTGCAATAAACAGCACCCATTTTCAAATAACCTGAAGTCAAAGAATCGTTTATTATATAAGCTTGGATTAAATTTTCAGTCATTAAGTTTATGATTCTCAAAAAATTGAATTGTTTAAGCAAAAAGAAAAGGAAAATCTTGATAACGTATGTTACAACGACTTTGGTAAAGTGTTGTTTCATAGAAATGTTTCAGTATCTATCAAAAAAAGCCTGGAACTAAAGTTGTAGATAACTGCGCAAATCAGACTATTTTTAGAATAAGCTTATAACACGAAAGTGAATTGTGGTTAACTACTAATTAGAATTCTGATAAGATGGATGTTTCATTAATGAATTAAAATGAATTCAATTTTCATCCAGCTGAAGAGTTCTAAATAGGACGAAACGAGCATCCTGGATTCCAGTGCTAACCACCACTCATCTCTGCTTATAATAATTACGAGGAATGATATTTTTAGAAAGTTATTGAAGTGGAACTCAATTATGATGTAAATAAAACAACCAGAAAGAAATCTTTTTTTTCAAAGTTAAACAAGTTAACATAAAGTGATACATTATGTTTAATATTAATAAACTATTGAGATAACTAATCAGAAACAAAGCTGATATCAGATGGATATAATCAGTCACTAACGGAGAAACAAGAATTTTTATATGAAAACTATTTTAATTAAATAGTCTATACAAAAATATGTAAAATTTAAAAACTGATTACACTTGAATCTAACTCATTAATTAATATATATCTATATTATAACAGAAATTAGATTTACAATCCTGTAGGTAAATACATACATTCTGTTTGATTTTAGCCTTAGTACTTTTACATATTAAACGACAAACGAAAATAAACTTCACTCATAGTAATAAATAGGTTTAAATTATATTTATATTGTCTCTGGAGTATAGAAATAAGCTTAAGATATAAGTTCATATATTTCCTTGCTTATGTGATTGGACCGGTCTAAAGGAAATATTATTGGGTAAGGATTTATAGTCATACAACTCATTATATATTGAATATAAAACAGAATAATATATGTTATCACCCAGGTATTTATGTTTATTGCTTCTGAGATTTCAAAATGAGGACTAAACTATTAATCTTTTACAGAGGTATCTACTTCTGTCAGTATTCAAAAATTACTTATGGCATATTAATTCTCAAAACTCTCCTTAATTTTGTGACAATAAACATAGAATTTATCTTAAGTTTGTCAAATTAAGACTTAGTAATCCTATTTGATTGTAAAACGTTATGTTAGCTGTTTCATTCAAAATACGACTAGATAAAAGTACACATCTGATGATCTTCTTTCTAAGGAAATGTCTCATAAAAACTTTATTATATATCAGTGGTGTCCTGTTGAAAATATATAGATATAATAAATGAAGTACAATTTTATCGCATTCAACGTTGAAATTTATCTGAGAATACACCTTTTATTTTTGGTTAAAAGCTGAAACCTAAAGTGTGCTTTATCTAAAAAGAAGTCTAAAGCATACGTAATATCTATAGCTGTTATACATTTAAATATCTAAGTAAAATATTATAAATCAATAAGCATATACAAAAGAACTTTGTGTTATCTGATATACCTTTTAAATTTCAGTCATCCAGTCCGAATTGCGTTTCAAGTCATGTACCAAGAGCTATGTTTAACAATTTTTACGGAACAAATTCAAATAACCAACATAATTCTAAAATTATCCCAATAAATAATGAAAAAGAACAAAATAACAACGAAGTTACAGAAGTCAATGAGTTCATCAGTGTAAATGATATTGCAAGTATGTTTTTACATAATCATGAACTAGCTGATTGGAATGGGAAAGTTATCAAACAATTAGTGCTATCTACAGCATTTACATGTAAGTTAACTCATAATTCAATAGTCATAAATTCAAGATTAAAATATGAAATGTATACACATATTCAATTGATATGATACTGTTGTCCAATGATGTTATTTTTAGATATTTAAGTAGTATATGTTTTATTGGAAAATTAAAAGTCAGTATCTACAAAATCTTAGTTAATTTTTCGTTTAAAATTTGAAAGTTTAAAACTATTGTGACAGTGCATAATTACGATCAGTATATTATAAAACATTTATCACAGGGAAATAACTCTTGATAAAGTTTTTTTAGTATCTTCTTGCATCAGAAAATGATCGTGATAAACAATGTGTATAATATAATAATCTGAAAACTATAAAATTCATTCAACTGAATTGTGTATTATTTTTGTCATTTAGGTATTATTAGTTTTCTAGACTTTTCACCTCAAAAATCGGTAGAGTAAGCTAAATAATAAAGAATATTTGACAAAAGCAAATTATTTTGAAGTACTACGAGCTATATAAATACAAATCTGTGATTATCGTATTAAAAAAAAATAGGCAGTCAAAGGCATCTTCATTCAGAAAAAAGAAAACAAGAGGTGAAAGAACGGCTCCTTGTGGTACATTTTCATGAGACAGTAGAAAATCTGAACACTTTCCTCCAAACACAGTGTACTGTTCTCTTCCAGAGAGGTATGAAAATAGCCAATTGATTATCCAGTAGTCAGTGTTGATGTTGATTAAATTGTTAAGTAGGCGTTGTCTTGGCATAGAATCAAAAGCAAAATCATAGCCCAGAAAAGCGCATCCAACATACTTCTTACCCTTTTCTAAGTTGAACACTATATTGTGATGCAGAATATATTTTCTGAAGAAATGTCTTACACTGAGTCATGAAACATCAGAAAATCTAATTTTTCTACTCATTGAGATGTTAAAAATATATTATTCTTGTTTATAACAATCTACGCAATACTCAATTTATTCGAAATTATCAAGTCAAACCTTGGTAATGTTACTTAAAAATTGTTATTAATTGTTTACAGAAATAGTTCCTAAATATTTATTTATATTCATTAAAAAAATAATGAAAATATTGGAATTCCAAAAAACATTGTACAAGTTACATCATTAGTGTTATTGGAAAAAAAAGTTTTCTCTTATATCCGAAAATAACTAAAATGTTATCGTAAATTGTAACGTTGTTTAAGTTTGAAAAAAAACATTTCCTTACACACACACACACACATACAAAAACATACTTATTTTACAATTTTCTCATATTTATATTTTTATTATTCATAATTATTAGATTTATAAGAATTTAAAAATAACAGTGTCTTATACAATACATTTATCAACTTTTTTATTACATAATGAGTACATGTTTGAATGTAACAAGTTTCTACGCAACTGTTTTTTTTTCATTATTTAAACTAATATGAAAACATAATGATAAATTTATTATGATACATTTTCATTAAGTAGAAAATAATAATAATACTTTTGTTTTAATAAGATTCCAAAGAATTGTGACACTTTGAATGTACAATTCACAAGGAATATGCTTTTTGAAGTAGAATGATAAAATTAATATTTTAGTACATTATTTTACTCAAATATAAAACTATCTGATTGCTTTATGAATCTTAATTTGTATATTAAGCTGAAAATAAATTAAGAATAGTTTATTGGGAAATACAATTTTTCTAAAGAAATAAAACAGTTATGTTATGTTCTCAGTGAAATGATTTCATTCTTAAATACAAGCATATTTACTGGTCTTTAATTTCGTCCTGTTAGTCATTTCGACTAATTATCTTTAAATCTAAATAGACTCATGTTTGTTATATATCTCAAAAGTATCACACCACGTAATTTACTTGGTACTTGTAAGAACAACGACTTTTATTAGATTGAACGGAAATTTACACCTGAAGAGCTTTCATTAATGCTTTTAGCATAAACACTACTCTAGTTGGATTGTATCCTCAGGAAATTAAACCTTCTTTGGTGCCCTGTTGTTAATTTATTTAGAAAGATGAATAACTCTATTTAATTCCAAAATAAACATTGAGCACTTTGTCAAATATTTACTAAAATCACCATAATGGTCTCGTCTATATGCATAATAAAATTTCTTTCAAAATAAATATACTTCAGATCGTCTATTGAAATTGTACAATATGGATATTGAAATTGGACTAGTGGTCTTATGGATTACGCTTATTCATCATTGGCCATATCATACAACTTGGTTGATAATTTATTTAGAAGATTTGAATGCTTCAAATTCTAACAAAGAACAAAATCTTGAAGTCAAAATTAATCTAATGGAGGCTTTTCTTGAGGTATTTTTATGGCATCTATTTCTAATATGTTTGATTTATATATTGAATATTTTTTTAAATTCATGCTAGACACATTGCACTTTTATTAAAACTGACCAAAATTCGACTATATTCACTATTTGCTAATAACTAACATGGTGAACTGTAATTGGGACCTAATTGAAGTTATTACAGTTGCTGATAACTAATGTAACAATGAATTATTAAAACATGATAAAGGATGAATTCTTGAGTATTAAGAATATTCTGAATGGTTAGTCTTTTAATGCTCAATAAATTTATGTATTTACTATCGAAATGTACATTCCAATTAAATCAATGTTAAAGCCACATTTTATTAATGAAGTGAAATGAAACACATATCGGTAGACTGGATTTGATTTTATAATGTACATTTACTTATTATTCCGATCACAAAAATGATTTGTAAAGACAAGTCTCCGTTTCGTTAAGGAGTAAGTATACATAGTTGACTGGGACATAGTAAATTTGCAATCTCTGTACTGCATATCGTGGATCACATATACACATAGAATAATATTGTAATAGTAAAATTCTCAGCTACTGGAAGTAAATGACTTCAACGTTTTGTACCACTTTTGTGTCTGAACTACGTTACGAAATAAAAGTCAATTATCTAAATAAAGTCACAAGACTAAATCGCATCAAGCAATTATCCGATCATGGTAAATTTACTTATGGTGAAAATTTGAGTGGTTTTGGTGTGAAATGTATCGAGTTGTGGCATCTGATGGTATATATGTATACATTAATCTTACCTTAATTTAGTGATGCTCTGTGCCCTTAGATTATGGATATAATCTAAGTATTCACTAGGTAGTGTATGCAACATATGTTGACAGATGTAAGTAGTATGTAACAACAATCAGAAGTGGAACACCTATCAGAAGAATGTTGAGAAGAATGAAATGAAGAAAACAGAAAGGGTGACATATAAGAATTGAGAATTCGAAGAATTATGAAAGATGATTAAGCAGTAATCATTTGAATGTCCCAATATTTGTGAACAGAAAACCAAAAATTTATTCACGTATACAATGATGAAATATTTTTCAACATTTAAAGTAATATAAAACTTAACTGAACTAAACAATCTCTATGATAACTTGCATTTAAAAAAATCTAAAACAACAAGAAATGATGTTTTTTTCTTCTGTTTATCTATTAATCAATAATTGTCAGAATGCAATTGATTCACTTCCATCTCATTGATTGAAGTTGTTAAGGTTTAATCATAAATAATCACATATCATCTCAGGATTGAAATAAAAATAAATGACACTCCATGTTATATTGCAGTTGGAATGAATATCACATACACAATTCATCATTTAAAGATGAGTAAACAATGATTTATTATTCAATACACTTAATTTGTGTTGATTAACACTGTAGTTCTTAACAAACTACCATTAACTTAGATAAGTTATATTTTCGCATGAATAAAATTGACCCAAAAATATGAATTCTGTTATTGCAGTAATATAGATTCAAGAAGCATTTGAATAATTCAATTAAACTTTAATGTAATCTCAGTAGTTGTAATCATGAATCAATTGAAGCTAGACCACTATGGAAAACCTGGAAGCACTGGACGGCCGTTTCGTCCTGGTATGGGACTCCTCAGGAATGCACCTTCACGATCCCGTCCCCCACCCGCGAGGTTTGAACCCAGGACCTATCAGTTTCGCACGCGAGCACTTAACCATTAGATCACTGAACTGACAGGCATCCAATGGTGTTAATGTCTAACTTCAGCCAATCCACAAAATTGCGCCACGTGCGTCATTGTCTTCAGTGAGCTGATATCTCACAACAGACATGGATGAACCCCACTGGTGAGGGGTCCCATAGAAGGACGAAACGTCCATCCAGTGCTTCCGGATTTTCCATGATGTTCTAGCCTCAATTGACTCATGATTACAACTATTGAAATTACTAAAATCTCCACAAAACCCCTTTTGTTAATGTAATCAACAAATAACTTCAAATCCTAAAATGCTTAGAGATTTGATGGAACTACGTCGATGAATTTCACTATAATAACCAATAATATAAATCAAAGAGGGGTTTAGGGGAGGTTGTAGTAATTTAATAGTTGAATTCATGAGTCAACTAAAGGTAAACCACCATGGAAAACCTAGTATTAGTCTCCTCAACAGTGCGCATCTACGATCCTGCTCGTGGGATTCAAAACGAGGATCTTCGATCTAGCGCGCGAACGATTAACCTCTAGACCAATGAGCCGACTTTCAACAGTGTTACTATCTAAATTCAACTATTCCCCAAAATTGAGGGACACATCCATGATTATCTTCAGTGAGTCACTGTCTCACAACCGATATAGTTGGACTCCCTTGGTCATGGCTTCTTACCAAAACTCCAGAAAATACCTCTTGAAGCCAGCCACTAGTGGGCACCTGATGATTATAATTGACCCATGAATTTAATTATTAACCAATATAAATGTTTGTACAGTTTCTCCATAAATGAAATAATATTTTACAGACGTAATTTCGTATTTAATCTGTTAAATAAAAAGTTAACATTGATTTATTTGAAATATTCTTAAGTTTAAGTAACAATTATATTGACATATAAAAGCTTTCTAATTTTTTTTATGTATCACTTCTTTGGACAATTATGTTAATTATAAGCAAAAATGTGTAGTGGCTAGTAGTGGATCCCAGGTTGCGCGTTTCGTCCTATTTAAGACTCGTCAGCTGGATGTACCTGCATTTCAGAGTTGACGTTGTGTGTGGGACTCGAGCCCATTAAATTCCGCTTTAACCTTATCGCGTTATTCACTTTCGCTTATAATACTTGTGAATTAAGACAATATCAAGGCAATATGCTCAATACGCACATATGCCAATAAGAAACTGATCATTTACAGTCCTAAACATTAATGGGAAGATTTAAGTAAACAATACTAAGTGAATTTATTATATTAATTGTTTTCATTAATTTCATACTAATTTTTAAATGAATCAAATCAACAACTTGTATAAAATATCTGAATAAAAGTTATTATCATTAAGGCAACAATATTTTGATAATATTCACATTGACACGAAATAACGAAGTTATCTTCTTCTTCTTCTCCTCCTTCATGTTACTTTAATGCTACTCTATTTTGAATAGAATCCTATTATTTTAAGAACGAAATTCCTGCTCTTTCTTCCTGGTTAATTAATTGCTTCATATTTCTTTATATCACATTAATTTATCAATCGTTATGGTATGATATGAAATTAGGTCAAAAGAAAAACAGAATAAAAAAAAAAACGAACATTTTCCATCACTAAATTTCCGAAAAAAAATTTTAAAAAAAGATGTTATTGTAGTTTAATTAACTATACTCTGTAAACTTGATAAAATTTAAAATAAAAGGGTTAGTCCAGTTTGATAAAGATCATAACATTTTCATTATCAATTGAGGAAAAATGTTATATGTAAAGTAATTATACAAGTATGATGAATGTTTATTGAAGACAACAACAACAACAATAAAATCAACAAGAACAACAACAAAAAGAAAAAAAATGTTAATTGTACCTGAAATCATTTAAGGAAAATTAATAATTCATTTATTTTATGGTAAGGTAATAATTAAATTTTCTTTCAAAGAAATCAATTAAATTGTAAATAACTATTCTAAATTCTTGATGTGTCATATGAAAAGTTATTCAGTTTCTTAAAGTTTATTTTTCTTACATATGTTGGAATTGGTATAGATTATAGTTTCTGAAAACTTTGTATTCTATATCTTAGTTACAATCAGGATAATGCCCAAGCTATGTAATCCGCACTTAATCAGTTGGAAAATCAATGTCCGTAGGTATGGTATATTTTTTGCAACTTCGAAGTGCAAAGTAATTCTACAAGACTGGCAGGATTCTAATCCTGTACTTAGTCTGGATGGTGAGCAGATAGAAGTAGTTGAGAAGTTCGTGTATCTGGGTAGCTGCATAAGTGCTGGTGGTGGTGTGAGTGATGAGATCAATGCACGAATAGTGAAAGCCAGAGCGGCTTATGCCAATCTGGGCCATCTTTGGCGCCTTAGTGATGTTAGTCTGGCTGTAAAAGGTCGGATCTACAACGCGTCGGTGTGAGCAGTTCTGCTCTATGCTTGTGAAACCTGGCCTCTCCGAGTTGAGGATGTGTGATCATCGCTGTCTACGAAGGATCGCTGACATCCAGTGGCAACACCATGTTAGTAATGCAGAGGTTGGGCATCATGTGTTCGGGCACAGAGACGATAATTCAATTGGTGTCACTATGTCGAAACACCAACTTCGATGGCTTGGACATGTTCTATGAATGTCGTCCCAGAGAATTCCATGTCGTGCCTTATTTGCCGACTCTGAGACTGGTTGGAAAAAGTGGAGAGGTGGTCAGTATATGATGTGGTGTTGTGGTATGAAATAAAGCTGCAAACGTCTGGCTTGTGTTTGTCCTTCATGACAACCTGGCTGGGGTCCTAGAGATGGTGAAACACAGTGGCTAGAGACGTTATCAGATTTGACCCAGAATAGAAGCCAGTGGAGATCCTGTTGTAACTTTCTTTCACTTTCTTCATAAAAAGTGGTTGCTTCTTCCTTAACTGAAAGATTTCTTCTGATTGTACCTTTCCGTTTCCCCCCTTGTTATTATGACACTACCACACTCTAATCTGTGGTCATTATTGTTTTTTCTCTTAAATGCACCTTACCTTCTTTTTCTCTTCCCATTCTCATTATTTTGTGTGGCGCATATATATCTGGTGCCCCTCTTGTGCCAATATTTATGTGTTCAAATACATAAATAATCACGATATTCAAGTTGTTACCCTCTTATTTACAGAATGGTTATAAGTAAATAAGTCATGGAAGAAAGGCATGAAAAAAGGCAGTAAAAAAACAACACTGAAACATTACAATGACGAAATTATGATATGCTTGTTATATTTTATTTAGTGGAATATTAAATGTTTGGGATTTTATGATTCGGTGTTTGTGTCTTTCTCAAGCAACGAATATCTGGATTGAATTGACTCAAGTTTAAATATGATAATGAAATAAAATATTCATTGTGATCAGAACAAGTTTGATTATGTTGTCATATCATTTGTGTCAAAGGTGGGACAATATATATTTATATTAATGTCCATCTTAATAGATGCAAAAATTATAATATTTGTAATGTGGATGAGTAGAGATAATTTTCATTTTTGTCAGTAGTGTAGTTGGAGACTCTTGGTGACATGGCTCAGAATCGATCACAATGGCGTAGGTGTCTACACTCTCTGTCTTCCCTTAAACTATGAGATTAAAATCGCCTCATATCTTCCTTTCTATGGACTAATTCTTTCTTCCTGTACTATGTCCTTATATGCAATCTTTCTTTTATATATTACCACTACTACTACTATGAATCCGGTGTTCATCTTGTTGTGCTAATGAGGTATGACAACTTAGACCGATGCACATATGTGCCTGGTCCTACGTTGTAGCTGACTGACTGACTGACAGTAGTGTAGTATTTAAATAGATTAATTACGTTTGTTACGAGAAGTGGTCCATGTTGGATGGTTAGTTAGGACCGTCTTTCTATTAGGCATAGCCCAATTTATCAATATCCAAAATATTACGGATTAAGGGTTCCCTACGAGATCTGGAAGTTTCGAATCTACCCCCTTCAGCGTATGTACATTACTGAGGAGTCCTAGGCTGAGACGAAACGTCTCCTCAATCATAGTTGGTATTCAGTGGTTGTCTAAATGAGATCCGTAATGTTAATGATAAAGTATACTGTTGTTTTATCATCACAAATAATCTAAATAATGATAAATTTATCTGAAATTATCATTTCAAAGCTTTGTACTGATAGCCACAAAAACTGACAAATTATTTTTACGATATCAAAATATAAACATAAACATAAATTTTCTCTTTCAAAGAGGAAGTGATCCCAAAACATTCTGGAAAACTGTTCTTGTTTGAAAGTGTTCCGCTACTTGTAGTATAACCAATGCACATTAAGTAGCTAGAATTGTTGTCTATTTGCACAAAAATATTTTCATGTTTAACAGGACTTTTTAAAATCCTTATCATATTATTTTAATCTCCTCTAAAATGACTAAAAGGAGCATATATATCTAGATATATTTTTACCACGTTTTTATCACGTTGTATTCTTTACAGTCACAATAGAAACCGATAAATTTTTACAAAAGCATATTTTAAGGTCTATGTATTGTGGATGGATTTTTATTTACTTAAATTAGCCAATTGTCAAACAGTAAACAATAGCCATTTGTTGATGGTTCCTAAGTGGAAAAATGGTTCACCAATTCCTGAAAAAAGAATCCAAACACCTACCAAGTATTTTTTTTCTTCATCCAATCAACAATTCTCCTTTAAATATAATTTATGCAGCTATTTTATACTTATAATTATTCTCTTATTACAGGTTAAAAAAAGAGTTGGTGAATCAATCGAAATACTGGAAGCTTTAGCAACGGAAGATCGTGATTTAGAAAGACTTAATAAATTTCTTTACTCAAAATCATCTACTCAAATTCCGGTGAATTCTTTAAAACAACTTATTGCATGTAGCCTAATACATAATCCGTTTATCCGTTATTCAATTCAAGGTAATTTTTCTTGTTAAAACTGAATTTAATATCAAAAGGAATTTGTGGATATTAAAGAAATTTCAATGGTTGAGATCATGAGTGAGTTGAAGCTAGTTGAAGTTAGACATTAACACCGTTAGACACCGGCTCAGTGGTCTAGTGGTTAAGTACTCGCCCACGAGACTGGCAGATCCTAGGTTTGAATCTCGTGGGTGCGCGCTGCGGAGAAGTCCCACAATAGGACGAAACGGCCATCCAGTGCTTCAAGGTTTTCCATGATAGTCTGACTTCAACTCACTCATGATCTCAACCATTGAAAATTGAAATTCATGAAGTAAAGTCAAATAAGATGAGAATGTTGTGGAATTAATTCTTAGGTGATTGAATACAAAATTACTCTTTGACTATTTATTGTAGCATAGTTTCATCGAATCTGTTTTGATAGCTTCAATGAATTTAGAATGTTATAAATCCAAACGACTTGAAAGCGGATAACTATTCTCCCTAATAAGATGTACATATTAAAAATGTCATCTGATTTAAAGTTTCAAAAATACAACCTAAAGTATTTTCACTTGAAAACAATCTATATTTTTGGTCTGTGTAATAGTTTTTGAATATATTATTTCCTTATTGAATTGAACACTATCTAAAATGTATATTTTGTTTTGTATAGAAGTTAACCTCCTAAGTGCAATTTTGAATTCTGGTATATAATTTTATAGGTTTTTTGATAAGTAATATAATGGGAACCATAAAATACAAATGTTTTGAACTTGGACGTATCCCTTACTTGTCACTTATATGTTGCACTTATATCATTAAATGATATGGGACTGTTAATTTTATGATAGCTAATATCCCACTGGACGCAAAAAACTAGATGCAAGAATTGTTATTCTTTATCTTGACTTCTCGACGAGTTATTGGTTAACATAATTATGTTTAGCCAAATCAAAATGATATAAATGTTTAACAGAAATCAGATTATTTTGTGAATTATTTTTAAATTGACGAACTTGTACAAAATTCTTGTACTAATAGTAGCTGGTAATTATTTAGATGTAATAAAAAGTCAAACTTTTCAAGTTTCACAATATCATAAATAAGGGAAAAATGACGTTTGTTATTTAAATCATCTTAAAAGAGGAGAAATGAATGAAACTTTTAAATACATTCAACTTCACTAATTTGTATAGTTTCGATTGAGCAATATTATTTATAACTAAGTTATAAACCTAATTAATTTAAAAATTATTTTTTTAAATATAAAACAGTCTTCAGTCTTTATTTAAAACATATCTAATATGAAACGGCACCAAGTATTAGGTTGTACATGACAATAAGGCGACATAAAGATTAGACGATTATAAATCCGATAATAACAACAGTATTAAGAAAAAATGAAGCAGGAAGCAGTAGGTGAATTCAAAGCTAGAATAGCCTTTAGTGGTGCTCCATATTACAACGTAATATTCTTTAACAAATTGAAAAAAAATTAGCGCAAACCTAATAATGACTTTTATTTTGAGAATGAGATTTAAAGGGTTTGTGTGATCCCTTTCAGCAAGTAGTCATATGCCACGAAACAGCAATTAGACACATATCCTTTTCTTTTCGTACACTAGTTTCTTTTTTTCATTTTACCGAGGATAAAGGGGATTATTTAGTGATGAGCATGAAACATACTGGTGAACTTGTGTAATACACAAACACTCTAGCAAAGGCAGTGACTGAAGACGACAATACTAACAGAGTGGTAGAAACTGCTTGTTTCACTCACATTTACTATATAACTGTGACAGTGGTATCATGGATTAACGAAGTCATAAAATATCTACCACTTGAATTTGTATAATTATTTTAATTTAGTAGTCCACCCGCCGAAATATGATTATCTAAATACTGGTGCGTTAAAAAGAGAATTCAACAAATTTATTGAACTCAATTCTTTTCCTAAGTTTATTCATCAAACTAATTTCTAGCTTGTTGTAATGAATCAATTAGTGGCATATCATGAAAAAGGTATCTTTCATAGGAATACCACAACTTACTTATCACTAGTTGTTGGGATATTCAGGAAAATATCCCAAAAGTTACCCTGTTAAGTCTAATGCTATCCTTGAACGTGAATTGGTGTCGTTTTCCTGTTGGTCACGAACGACTAGCCTCTAGACCATTGAGCCGACATCCAACAGTGTTAATATCTAACTTCAACCAATCCACGATATTGCGCGACCGTTTATCACTGTCTTCAATGAGTAACTGCCACACAACAGTCATGGCTGAACTTCATTGTTCACGGCTTCTAAATTAAATTACCACAATCTCCACGAGCCCCCATTCTGATAACACAAAGATTTTTGATTTACTTCGAATAATAAATTATATTTACTGATACATAGGATACTGCCTGCATATTTTTATTTCAGTACTTTAAAATTTATATCAATAAACACAACTTATCTTTAAAAATAACTTAAACAACAATTTTAAGAAACAATATTTAGAATCAAAGTTTTATTTTGTATGTAGTTTAGGCTATGTTAATGGATATTATGTAATTTAGTTTTAAAAGGAGGACTGTAACCAAATACATTTCATTACCATGTGAACCAACCAAGTTTTTTTAAATGAAAAGTGTAATATTGAGACTTGTCTGGTGCCACACAAAATAAACAATAATTTAGAAAGATTCTCGCTAAATAATATTAAAATATGTTATACTACTGATAACTTTTAAGTAAGATCGTTTTTTACTTAAAATATATTTTAAATATTTTTTTCGAATATCTGTTGTTAAGCTCTATTGGGAATGATGAACGATCGCCAATCATCAGGTCTACATCATAGTTTTGTGAATCCTCTTGATGCAGTCGTTGAGGAGAAGAGTGATACTACAAATCATAGTTTTGCATTAGATAAAGTTAAACAAACAAATTCAGTACCCATCTATGCAAGTGTTCAGTTGAATTCTTCAAGAGGACAGACGAATCAAATGGGCTGCAAAACAACTGGTTCACTATCATCTGCTGAAAATCTTCCTTCAAACGCTTACTGGCCATATCCATCTGATACATTAACTACAGGGGATAATTTATTTAGTAAACCATGTCCACTAAGGTTGAAGGTGAGTCTTATGTAGTTAGTATCCCGAAGACAGAAATATTACTTTTATTTCTATACGTCTATCGTGAAGTCGCATAAGTAACTTTAATAATAAAATACTCGTTGATCATCGTATTACAAAATTAAACAATATGATATCTTCCATAGCCCAATGAATGTGTAGCCCTTGAATGACTGGTAAGGACACCTAAAACGTCACCCTGTTTTAAAACGTTTTGAAATAGTCCTTGTAACAGTTTAGTCAAATGGGTAAATAACCTACCAAACAAAATAAAGCCAAGCCCTAGGAAGTGTAAATCAACCACGCTTCTTTAAAGTCAACAAAGCGTTCGACAAAACAACATTATTCATAACTTTAGTCAAGGTTTTGTGAGCGCTTAAATTGTATTTTAGTTTAATTAAAATGGCAGATATTTGTTACTCGCACAATCAGTCGGAGATTTAATGATTCATTTAATGCAGAACCATTTTCATTCAGCAAAGTGAGATACATATTTTTAAATCCTGGTTTGATAGGGCTATTTTGTTTTAAGTGAATTAGAATGAACATAGAGAACCTAAAAACTATTCCTAATTAGAATTCACTTCAGGAATGGTTCCGTAAACATTGTCTTTATTTAAAGCCTAAATTGTTTAATTTTGATAAGAAAGCACTTGCATATCACTGTACAATGAAGATGATACAGCATAAAAGTGAAATCACACGAAGTGTGTGCTCATTATGATTCGGATTTTATCCAATAAGTATGTTAATGAAAATTTATTCTCTTTTCCCATAGTTCATAGTAATTTTTCAATTGAACCAGATCATTATTAACACACCGAATAACAGTCAGTCTTGTATCATTCTAATTGTTCAATAGTTTTAGAAATTTCATTTATTCAGTTATTAGATTGTTGTATCACAATGCTGTTTTGTCGACACTTTAGAGAATTTGTAAGAAAGCATTTTCTATATGCGATCGTCTGTAAAAGGATACAAACATTTGATATGCTTTCAAATAAATGGTAACGTTTAAAAAATGTAAACTTCTTTGCAGAGACTATGTTAGCTATTATTCATCAAAAGAGCCATTAGGATCTGATCTGAAGATAATATAAAATTGAGTGGTTTATTTCTCAACCATAATCAAACATGATGTTGAATACTGATGTATACATACTGATGAAATGGCACGAAAAGCATAAAGTCAAACTATGCCTAGAAAGTTTACGAGGGCAGAACTTCAACTTCGTTCCCTTAATATGCTTATCAAAAGCATAATAATTTTGACGTAATTAATGCGTTATATTTCAAATTATTTTTTGCGTCTTGTTTCCTTTTGTACAGAAAATATACCCATCTCTTCCAATAAATCAGTACACAGTTAACGATGTCTGTGAGTTATTTTCAAGTATCGTTGACATTCATCCGTCTCATATGCAATCTTATATATCCAAAATAAAACAATTGAATATTAATGGAATTGTACTCTCAGTATGTGATCTAGAAAATCTAAGACAAGAATTAATGATTGAAATAAGTGACTGGCAACTGATTTATAAACTGATAACTTGGTTGCGATCATCGTCTACTGATGGACACAGAACTTTCTCAGAAAGTTCACAACAAAGACTAGGTGGTATTTCTTCAAATGAATTTGATGCAAGCGACCTGCTAACTGGATATAACATGACTTTTAAAGGTAAATATCAGCAACCACAACAACGGTTATCTAACCACACACTACTTACATCGATGCCATCTTTAAATTCTGAAAAAATGTCATGTACATCAGATCAGAAACCGAAAACATCTAATCCGTTTCTTGTAAGACAAACACCTTGGCTTGTTTCGCCAAAAATACCAATCACAAGCTTATCATCCAATGGTAAATCACTTGAACCTTTTCAAGAATTCACTCTTGAACAACGTCCTAGTCCAGATACTTCTGATCAACAGAATTCCTGTAGTGCTATGGAAGAACCAGAATCGTTATGGAAAACTAACGGTTTAATAAATGTTTCTGCAACTACGGATAAAACACTCGTTCCACATCCAAACATGTTGGTTGGAAGCATTGAAAATTCACATATAATCAGTAATCCCAACCTGTTCTCACACCAGGAGGGCTTGAGTAAACCAAAAGAAATAAGGAAAACAAGTAAGCATCTGAACAATCATGAAGTTAATATCAATAAACCAGAAGTTAAACTTACACCAGGACATTCCTTTCATAGAAGCATGCAAAACTCATTGCATTCTAATAGGTTCGTCAATAAAAATGGTTATGCCAGTCGTTCATCCATTGATTTAAGAACAGTTTTTGGTCCTGAACAAAAAAATCCACCAAATATAAATTTATTTAGTAATTACAGAATCATACATAATTCGAAGAGAAACCGTGTTAAAAAGGCTCTAATAGAACAGCATCGAAGGCAACAACTACAACAACGGCATCTTTTAACGCATAATCCTAAATTTAATTATTTTGTAGATCCAGAATTTTGTTCATCATTTGCGTGTCCATTATCAAAACATAATGCAAATTTTTATAACCATGATTTATTCAGTAATAAAAATCATCCATTTGATTCAAACATACAAAATATTAATGCCTCTAATTTAAGGCGCATCACTAAACAACCTCGTCGTAATTATGATTATCAAACTATTGAGAACAATACACCTGTGTTAATTGCTAACGGTTATAACAATGAAAGTAGTATTAATAACAACGAAGATCACATCAATAACATAACGCCAAGCAAAATCCATATTAAACAATGTCATTTACAAGAATCATTGAATAACGTTGAATCTGAAACAGATGACACAGTTCAATCTTCGGACAATAAAAGTTCACAACTTAAATTTCTTAATCAAAACAAATCATTTTTAAATCATTTAAAATATTATCCTTCTTATAAGATTCATCCAAAAGCAATTTTCTCTTCACCAGCTTTAACACCAGCTCAGTTAACTAGTCTACGAGCCTATACTGAATGGTCAACGAAAATGAATCCTTACTTTGCAAATGCAACAATGATGACTAACACAGGATCTGTTATTCCAAATAATTCAACTAATGTTTGGCCTAGTTATCTGGAACAACATCAAATAAATAAATTTCCTATATTTAAGCCAAGTACACATAAAACATCCGATCACAAATCATTTAGACCAAGTCAAAAGAAAAGGCCAAGAAAAACAAATCCAGATGACAATGAATATATTATAAATACAAATAAAGAATTTCAACCTACTAATTTAACAAAAGCTAATGTATATTCATTAACATTATCATGTGATTCAGAGGCTGAAATGTGTACATGTGATTATTGGTATGAATTAGAAAAAGCAAAAGAAAAGTTTACAATTAGTGAACCATCATTAAGAGCTGAATCAGATTTAATAAGTATAGATGATTTTGTTATTGATAATGATTATCAGTCAAGTGCCACAGAATCATTAAATTCAACGCATATATTACAAACAGATAAGAGTAAACTTTCAAAATAACATTCATTTCAATTAAATGATTACAGTAATAAAATTTTAAAAAATCTTTGTATTATGTAACTTTTAATTTTGAAAATCATTATACAAATTTTTTTAAGAGAAAAATATTTTCATGTATAAAATAAATAAGCTGAGTTATACTATTGATTAGAGTTACCATGATCACTATCTATATTGCCTAATTTTAATGAGGTTTCTACATTATTCAATTATACTGCTGAATTTTATCAACAAGTAGTACAAATATCCAATTTATTCATATTATTCAGTTCAACAATCTCATTTAAGAAAACAGTACATGTTTGTATTAGAAATCATTATAAATGTATATCTCAAATAGGTTACAGATATATATATATATATATATATATATATATATATATAACTGGATATATATATTCTGAAATAATAGCTACATTTAGTGAAACTGAATGATTATTTGTCTAATAATCAGGATATTACCGTATAAATGATAATAATTGTTATTACTTTCTTAGCGTACAGTATTGAATAACTAATATCTTTACAGAATTAATTTGTTTCAATAAACTATTGTTTTTTTTACAAAGAGTTAATATGTAATAATCTGTTACATATAGTATAAAGATCTATTATATACTCACTTAATCAAGTAATACATGTCTTTATAATCGATTACAAATGGATAGCAGGAAAATAAAACTTATATATGTTTATGTATTTTTAAAAGTTTTGTTGTCAATTTACACATCAATTGAATATTTTTGTCTCTAAGTTATAAAGTTAAATTTTTCATTCTTTGTAACACATGTAATTTATCATGATAGCCATGTTTTTATTCTGATTTTCTTGGTGATTGTGATTAGTAAAACGGATAAATTTCCTTCTGTTCATTTTGGTTGCATTTACTTATGTTTCTGATGTTTTCTTCGAAATTTTAGTTATTATTCATATACCATATACCATCAACAAAATATTCGCCATAATTCTTATCTAGACGGTTTATTTTCCTCGTACCTGTGTTTTATTTTTTATAAATCAATACGTCTTTTTTTGTACAAATGTAAGTAAATATATTGTGAACATTACAATTATAAATACCATGTAAATTTGTTGTGAATAATTGCTTTTTTACTGAATATTTTTACCACCAGACATACTTAGCATATCATAGATGTGGAAGAATTGTATTTAAGGTTTCACATTAATTGTGAATTAAATTTGTGGTGCAATCTAGTCTCTGTTTGCAGGAAGAGTAATGAATATTCTAATGATTAGCTTTATCATATAATCAATGAGTCATGGGTACATCATAAGTTTATTATATAGAATTAATGATTAAAATACAAGATTTTTCGTTACATCATTTACACAAACAGGTTTGAAGATGTTGCTATGACGAATCATATGAATGTTACTTTAAGAACCTTAGACACTCACGTACCATGTTAAACATTCACAAATAATAATAAACAGTTTCCGCAACATAATACTGCAGTGTAAACAGAAACTGGATAAATGAATGCATTCATAGTGTAAGTCATAACGAAAAGCGAATGTGAATTACTGCTAGTTAAGTTAACTTAATGGTAAAATTGATAGTAATTACACAAAAGATTTATGGGATGATCATAAATTTAGCATGATCATTAAAACAATGAAGGTAACAACAGTAGTTCAAGAACAAAAAGATGTCTGTAATGGTGTAAACACTTTGATGACTAATGTCTTAAAAAAGCGAACGATCATAAAAGTAATCATCATTTAATTAAAAAGGACCCCAAAATATTGGTAATATGTTTGATCTGTCCTTGTTTACAATATCTGCGAAAGTCGTTCATATTGTCCTGATCATCAGATTATCTAATATGAATCTTATTTTGTGGAGTCGCTTGCTTTAGGCCGATAATTTCTTTTAGCACTAGAAAGTATCTGATCTAAAGGCCTGTTGTTGTCTGTGTCAATTATATTTTCATATAAAATAAGACTCAACATTCTGTTGGATTTAACAACCACTAGTGTATTAATTTTCCCTCAAAACTATTTTTATCACCAAGAATTTAAAGTATGTCAAAAATATCTACCAATGAAACATTCAGGTATAAGAACGCTAGTTTTTGCCCCTGAATTTGACTCCAATTAGATCGTATGAATGGTTGTTATTGAATGATTGCTGTCGAAATATATGTCATCAATCCTCGTATAAAATTATCGACTCAAATCGCATTAGTGAGTAACAGAGTTTAATAAGTCATATACGAGAAAGGATTTTTGAATGCATATAATTTATACGCTCATTGATCTGGATAGACAATCTCAAGGACGAAACAAAAAAAATCGGAGGGAAATGACGCGCAGTGAGCACGTGTGAGCTAACTCGATTTAACGAAGCGTGAATCAATATTTATAATCACACAAAAATAAGTTGCAGACATATGATGGATAGGATAAGAAGTGCACACTCATATGCTCACATAAAAAGTCAAGTTTGATAAGTATATAATTAAAAAGGTTAAAATGTGACTCAGGAAGAATGGATAAATTGGCCTGTCCAGAAGCTAGAATAATCCTATGTTGGCTTAATATAGCAACCGGCAGTACAGCTATGTCGATGAATACTATATACCTTGTGTTTAAATTGATGAACTGAATGTTATTTCGTTCCTAATAGACTCATTAAGATAAACCCGCTGTGAGGGCAGCTTGTAACATGGAGAGTTATTCAAAACTGTTGGCAATGATAAATTCTTGGAAGATTTTGGTTGGGCATAGTAACTTGCATTTAAATGTCTCGATGTTTTTTTAGAATTAATTCAATCTACCGTTAAATTTTCTTTTTTATTAATTCACTAGTAACCTAACAAGTATTCTTCTCAATTTACATTAGTATAACTTTATCATAAATATTTTAGTTTAATGTATTTATTAACATCCAACTATTTTTTTGATTCTTACAGAAAGATAAATAGTTCTGTATCTTTAAGTTGTTTACACCAGAACCGGTGTTAAATCATCGTAGGAGCTATTTTGTTAGATTTAAATAGATCATTAATAACTTTCTTACCTTTATTCGGCAATGTACTTTATTACATTATGTTACAGATTTCATAGCCACTTCAAATAAATTGAGCATTGGGTAGAAGGTTAATGTTTCCTGAATTAGTGTAAGCTACTTCTTCAGAGTAAATAATTAACCTAATTAGATCAACGCAAGATTTATTTAAGCTTAAGCTAAGTAACAAAACACACCTGCTCTTAAGGCAGACTGTGTGCCAAAGTGCTTTATGTGATTAAACGCGTAGTCGAGAGTGTTTAGTGAAACTAGATAACATTCTCCCTTCTTAACTATTACTCTGAATGTTAACCCCAATTTTCTTTAGTTTGTAAGCAGAAGGATAACAAAGAATTGCATCATAGCAGATGTCAGTTTCTGACGAAAACACTGCCCTTTACTTACAAACCCATTTCAGAATCTTAGATTAAGTTATAATATTTAACCATAACGTTTCTACATTATCGCTGGTGTTAGTTGATGACAAAACTCTTTAGGATGGTAACCCCAACGCACAACACTAACCAACTCCTTATATACAGACTTGATCTTTTCCCTTTACTATTAAGAATTATTCGACTTGTGAGAGTTGATTATTAAGATCAAAACTATTATTCCACTAATATTTTATTATTTTCAATGTCTAATGTTTTTTACCTACAGTGTTTCCTAATTGGCTAACAAGTTCCTCGAGGTCGTCAGTATATAATACTTTTACCCATTACTTTGGTCGGTTCATAATTTTAGTGAGTTCTAAAATAGTTAAAAAACCACTTCACTATAGTACAAGAAAAATTCATCAAGTCAGAAATACATACTACTGAGAAATCTGATTTCCGTAACTTTGACAAACTAAGTAATCCAGTTGTGATGTATACTACTCATGTCGACAGGCATGGTTAAATAACTAAGTAGTTAAATAAATAAACATTATAGGTAGTCAGGCTCTCATTGATTTAACAGTCTCGTATAAGTTAAACTGAAATCATATATTGACGATCTCTTAAAATCTGTAAGGATTATACTTGAACTTAATACTGAAATTTTTCTGATGACTTAGTTTCTAGTTTCTTTATTTTGTCATATTAGATGTTACGAGCTTTTGCGGTATAGTCGTTTCTTTACGGGAGGACAAGTAAAGCCTAACTCAACTTTTTAATCATCAAAACATTATCTTACGGAAGCGTGCTAATAGTGACTTGTTGTTCTTTGTTAGACTGCATTTGTAATCATATTTGTTGTTCTAATATTACTAACAGCAGTCAATTGGATTTGACTTGAAAGGATTCACTTCTATATTGAAATATGATGATGTATCTTCAACTAAATCATATAGACTTTTGAATGGGAAACATTCATCTTTATCTATCTGTTTCACTGATAAACCATTAAATATCATAGCTACAATAAAAGTGTACTGTGATCATAAACACATTAAGAAAGGTTAAAGTGATTTAGATTGCATATTCAAATATTTGATGTGTCTGTTCATAATTTATGCACTTAGTAAACTGAGGATTATGTAAAAAATATTTATTTTCACATGCCTACGTGAGTTGATCAAAGCACTTGACAGATAAATTATTCAGATCCTTTCAGGTTTCTCATTATCCCCATCATTAGCCTTGCCAGTTACACACGTGTAATCTTCAGCATGTTTTATTCTTGCGTGTATTCTAGTATGTATATATCTCTGTACTAACTTGAGTCTCATTCACGCGTATAAAGACTGACTCATCTATTAATCACTGAGTTGGCTGTTTCTACCACTCCAGTTCAAATTCCTGTTTTTGTCTTTCATCATTGTCAAGCGTTATTAAAGTTAAACACTTATATTTCTCTCATATTTTCATAATTAACTTTAAAATATACGTTGTTAATAACCAGATTTGTTGACAGATTATATACGAAGTAAACATAATATATATCATTAGCATCAATATTATTTCAATAACATTTGGTCAGATTT